AAAAATCATATAGATCTAAAAAAATATATATAATAATATAACTTTAAAAACTTTCTTATAATAATTATTACCCCTATGACTAAAATTCTGACTAAACAACTTCCTGAAGTAATAAATTTTTCTAAAGAAGATAAATAAATTAGATAGCAATCAAAATAAAAAATTCAATTTACTAAAGATCTTACTATAATGACATTATAATAACTATAGATAAATTAATTAATTTATCTTCTTTAATACATATATAACTATAAAATTTTTATCTTCTATTAACAAATAAATAATAAAAAAATCGTAAAGAATAAGATACAGTTAACGATAACGATATGATTATTAATACAAACATAAATATATTTAATCCTTTTCTCCCATAAATAATTTCTATAATCACGTCTTTTCTATAAAATCCAGCCATAAAGGGCCCCTCTTAAAGCCTAGAAATCAATAATCTCATTATTACATAAGGAATCATTTCATTTAAATTTCTTAATAATCGTATATCTTGAGTATTCTTTATTAAATGTATTACAGTACCCGCAGACATAAATTGTATAGACTTAAAAATTGCATGTACCAATAAATAATAATAAGCTATTATCCTAAACCTTAAAATTATTATTATTAATTCTAATTGCCTTAAAGTTGATAATGCAATAATTTTTTTAAAGTCATTCTCAAAATTAGCTATAACCCCTGATATAAATATAGTTAAAATAGAAATAAAACTTAAAACTACTCTTACATTTGTTTCTATTAAAAAACTATTAAAACGAATTATTAAATACATCCCTGCAGTTACTAAAGTTGAAGAATGTATTAAAATTGATACTGGTGTTGAAGCAGCTATAGCTAAGGACAATCACACAGAGAAAGAAATTAGAGCCCTTTTAGTAATGGTAGCTTACATTATTAATAATATTAAATCCAAATAATATTAAACCCACCATTAAATATTACTAAATCTCACCTCCCAATTATCATCATTATTGTAATTGCTATTAAAATTTCTACATCTCCAATTCGATTGCATAATACCGTAATTATCCCAGAATTATAATAAATAATTAAACAATATGATACTATCCCTAACCCATCTCAACTAAAATCCTAATAACGTTAGGACTAATTACTATTAAAACTGTAGATAAAATAAATAATAACAATAATTAAACCGATTAATATACTTCTCCATATTCATATAAGTTAGTCTATATAATATAATTATTGAAAAAATTAATATAATAAATTTAATAAATAATATAGAAATTCAGTCAATTAATATAATAAATTTTAAATTTATAGCATTAAACTAAAAAATTATTCACTCTAAAATTACTATTAAATCTAAAAAACTTATTCTTATTATTCTTAAAATAATAAATGCTCAAAACATATATATAAAAAATGATATATTTAAAATAATTTTAGATTCTTTCTAACTTTTAAAGTA